TAGTGGCATCAAATTATTTTCAAGCACTTCGCTAGAGATTTTCCAATCACATTGATTGCCCAACGAATGAATTGTTGCCCCATATGTGCAACCATATGAATACTTAGTACCTAGAAACAAAAGTATATGCACAAAGTCGTTGCTTGCTAATCACTGCATAAGCATGAGAATAAGGAATCTCTTTAAAATCCCACTTCATGTAACTATAACTTCTAGTCTCCAAGTAAACAATAAAACTAGATTTGCCATGCACTACAATGAATTCATTTACATCATTTGGTTGAACCTACAATAAAAATGCAATACAATATAATAATGATAAGTTTCAAATTCAATATATCAATGATATTCAATAGTATATCAATGAAGATATATTTAGTTGTAAAAACATTGCCTCCATGTGTCTACTAAGCTCTATTTGCTCGAACAACTATTTTTCAGCCCATGGTATTAAATGAAAAGATATAGAATTAGCATGCATCCTTCATGTATAAAACCAGTCTTGGAGCTTAATGGTATAATCAGTAGGTCCTTTGCATCATCTAGAGTAAAGTTCATGCTTTCTAATATATTAGAAGTCATAATATCATACCATCTCTTCATATAATAACAATGTGACCACTTTTCATAACCTATATCTAGAAGGTAATCATAAATGTCAGGTGCCACTTGATCTAATTTCTTCATCTTACATTCAAAATCAAAAAACTTATATACCTTAGCATAATGATTGAAGGTACCGGCAACTGAAAGGTATTTGAACTTTGTTTTTATATTACCCAACAAATGTTGTACACAAATACAATGGGTAGTATTAAAAAATATGTTAAACACAACCTTTGGGATACTACTTTTCCTGTCTGAAACAAAGACTAGGTCTTGACAATAACATAATGCACTCTTCAACTTATACAGAAACCATTCCCAAGAAGTATTAGTCTCTGAGTCAACAACTACAAATGTTAATGAAAAGATTAAATTGTTTCCATCCATAGTGCATGTAATTAGAAGAGTCCCCACATATTTTTCCTTAAAAAAGTTCCATCAATGGATATAATTGGCCAATAATGGCTCCATCCCTCAATAGAAGCAGCAAATGATACAAAGAAATACTTAAAACGACCATTACCACCATCTTCAATAGCAATGATAGTACTTGTATCATATGATTAATAATCAGACAACAAAGTAGGATACAAAACATAATTACTGTCTAAATAACACAATATATCTAATTCAGTTACTGTCTGAATATATCATTAATAAACGTATGCATATCAATGATAAATATATATTTGGATTTGTGTAAGTCAAAGCACAGCACAAGGAAGGTAATTGGGCATAAAAGTCCTTCGGACAACCTTGAATTGCTTCCAAAACAAGTTTCTTTGCTCTCCATGACTTGTAATAACTAATACCAACTCTAAATTCCTTATGCATGTGCTTAATTATTGATTTCGGGTCATTACATTCTCCATCAATGACTTTTTGCTTCACACATTCACTAATGATAAGGCTTATGGCTTGCCTATGGTCACCACGCATGACATTAATGGCACAAGTATGGTCTTTTACATACCATCTAATGACCCAAACCTGAGTAAAAGAAATTATTGATGCCCGTACGTACCACTTACAACCATCAATACTACAAGCAATAACAAGCCTTTCACTATTTGATTTGAGAGTTTTGTATTCAAAATTTCTCTTCATAGCTAACAGTTGTAGAACTTTTTGGATTTTCAATTTGCTAAAGAATGCATCTCCCTCCTTAATATCGTCCATTTGCAAAAGTTCATCGGGCCCCCTACAATTCTTGTTGTTGGTAAATGTAAAAGAACATGAAGTTAAGGAACTATCTTCTTCATGTCAAGGTTCAAACACTTCTTGTATGGACAAAGGTCAATTAGAAATAGAGACAATCAATGAAAAGTTAAAGAGATTAGAATTTCTCAACAAATTATAATACCATATCAAATCATTGTCATTCTTGACCTCTAAAATACTATATGTTGAAGTTCCAATATCAAAAGAAACTATCAATTTGACCTCATGACTCGCAGTCAACCACAATTTCTTATACACAATTTCAATGACATCAAGATAGGAAATTGTATCTTCCACAATCACTTCCAAGTATAAACCATCCACATAACGGTTGTTCAAATCCCATTTTCCATCATAAGAAATTATAAGATTAAGCATCCCCATATCTACAAGATGACATAGTATCGGTAAGTTATCACTGATATGATTTATCAATGAGATACTATAATATATCAATGATATACTAACGTTAATCAAAAACACGAAAACACCTTACTACTTCACCCAAATCAGATCAAACTAGGTTCAAAAAAAATTATAAATGCCTTAACTGATCATAGAAAATCAAATACCCGAAATAAAAAAAATAAAAATCATGAACAGTGAGAAAATAATATATTTTGTGTTCGAAATTCAAACAAAGTGCATGATCAATGACAACAAAATAATAGATTAGGAACAGATGATTTAATGATTCAATGGATATATTATCTGGATATATGAAGATGATGGAAATTTGATTATGGATGATTCTCTTCAACCTCTAGATAAACGAATACAAGACAATTTCTATTCAATAATGCAGTTTCCTATTCAATGTGATGATAATGTCTAGGAAAAACAGAGAAGATAAACAAAGAGAGGCAAGCACTATACGATAAGAAACGTTCTGCGATCTTCGATGAAGATAGTGAAAATAACCGTATGAATGTAGAAATAAAAGCAAGGAAAATCAGATAAAAATAACATCAATTATAGTCTATTTTAATAAAAATAACCGAAAGGATTTGAGGATAAAGAAGTAAAAACACATCTAATTTATTTTTGAATGGGTCATATTTCAAAATATTTAAAAACCTCTTCCATAATTTATAAAAGTTGTATTTTTTGATGCCATTGAGCAAATTTTCTCGTAATTAAATCACATCCATAATCTTTAATTGAAATTCTTCTTTTTTTTAATTATTATATACCGTGCTATGTTTCATTTACTTACATACTTTACTCCATATATTTAATATATTTTTATTTAATTAAATTATAAATAAAAATATTTTAATTTATTAATATTTTTTTAATGGATCAAATATAAACATGAATCCTCTGACGTGCACCGCGCCCTCATATACTTATAAGATGATCTAGACCTTTCATTTATTTTCTGAAATGATCTACCGTTGATTTTCCATTTTTTTTAAATATTTTAATATTATATTTATTAAAATAAAAATTATAAAAAATCAAATATTAAATTATGACTATCTAAAGTATATTTAGATAATCAATTTATAAAAATTATAAAAAATTTTAATCTCAAATTGGACCTTTCAAATTGTATATGTAATATTCAGAGTGCGACTGAATAGTCAATTTGTAAAAATAGTTAAAACATTAATATTAATTGTGTCATCCAAATTGAATCTGTATTGGCTAGATTAGTGATAACCAAATTTATTAAAGATTTCTATATTTTTTACATATTTTTATTTAAATAAATATAAAATAAAAATAGAAAACTTAAATTTGGACTGTCTATAACTAATCAAGGGTGATGATTACAATGGCATTCATCCTATAATAAGCATAAAAAATTTTATTTTGATAAATATAATATTTAAAAATATTTTAATAAATAATTTAAAATTAACAGTAGAGATCATTTGAGGAGAAAATGAAAGGCCTAAAGAGCTGATCATTCCTGAAGAACACCAAATGCAAATCCATACAAACGGACACCTCACACACACTTACATACATACTCATTCTCTCATAGGGCAGAGTGACCCCCTTTAAGTAAAGAACAACACACCCATTTGTTACACTTATACACACCCACCCCTTACCCACATGGGAGAATAGAACTCACAACCTCTCTCTTTTAAGGGAGTGTGGGCACCATTTAATCAAGAACCTCTTGACAGCTGGAAAATTTTCTATACACAAAGAGAAGTTAATACTTTATAATAAGACTCTCATATTGCCTGCAATGTAGAACCTATTTTTAGTAGGGCTATAATACATTGTAATTAAATTATTTGATTTGTTTTAGCAAACTTCACAAGTCTTTTATAATATATATATATATATATATATTTAATTATAAAAATTTTAAATTGCATAAAGTATGATTACATTAAAAGAATTAAAACAATGGAGTATATCTTTGTATTTGCTGCTCGCAGGATCTTTTCTAAAATAATAGCCTATAACATGTGTTAAAATATGAAATTTAGATACCTAAAATACTCCTTTAACATTTCATTATAGAGCACATTCTAAAAAGAATTTTTTGGTCCTAGAATCTATTTAGATTAGATTAAAGTACTCCAATGCTACACAAAATGATGAAAGTGGAGATGAGATTTATAAGAAAAGGGACCAATTACTTGATGCACAAATGATAATTGCATAAAATGTAGTGATTTATATGAACTAATTTAAAATAAATCAATGAAACTCATAAAATATAAAGTTATGAGGGATATCAAACACTCACAAAATGTATCTGCATATTTTTATAAAACACATACTTGAGAACTTTACCAGAATACTATAATACATAGTTTCCTCCATGCAAAACTTTCTGGATGATTGAGCTAAAACATGAACATACTTATTCACAAAATTTTGATATTCCACCTTTATAGCTTGTGAATGTTTAAACCAAAGACTCTTGTCACATATCCCCGCTAGCGTCTTTGAATTTAGTGGTTCAAAAGTCATTAGAAAAAGATCACTTTATTAAAAAATGTTAAGAAAAAGCCACCAGTGGGATTTAATACCCATGTGGAAAATGTATGACAAAATATTTTTAACAATTTGTTATTTTTCCACAATGTATTACTTTTTTTTTTTAATATAAGTGGGGCCTATATATTCTATTCATAACCTGTGAACAATTTGGCTTTCCAAGGTTTGTGTGTGGGTATGATGATCCTGATAGATGGTACACATTTAATCCAACACGTTCGAACATTACATTAACCAACTAGTTCAACAATTTAACAACTGTTGCATTGGCCAAGAAACATTGCCATATGGGGAGTTGTTTATTTGTACGTCAGCACTTGGATTCATATTCTATAAAGAACCCATGGGCAATACAACACACAATTTCAAGTCATTCTAGCATCCTAGTGATTGCTTTTCTCATCATCACCACCATCATCCTCCAGTATGTTGTCATTCAAGTGTTGCTGAAATGGTGAGGACCTTCGAGGATCTTCCCAGTCCCTAATGTCCCTCAATTGATCTTGGACAGGTGGCAGGTTCCTCTTCTCTTTCTTGCCTCCCTTGATTATATAGCAAAGGAAGTTCATTTCAGAGAGAGTAAAAGAAGCTTGTTTGTAAGTATGCTATCATTAGAATGTAAATTAACACGACGTGTACCTTAGACACATCTTCCTTCTGATTCATATCATCTTTCTTCCTATTACCTGATGACATCTGATTTGAAACTTCCCTGAATATTTGAAAACCCTGGATATCTCCATTTCTGATGCTTGCTTCTAGCTGCAATGGAAATTACCAGTAAAAATGAGGATTACAACCTAGGAAGCATAAGCACAAACACAAGAACAAGACAAGACATGATACACGATCGATTCTACAACCGAGTGTATAGTGTTTAGGAGCAATTTAACTTATCGCTCATATTAGAAATAGGCGTCAGAACTGTACTAGAATGGCTACAACATAGATTCAAAATGGTCTAGTCTCAATTAAGCTCCATAATGTATTATCTTTTCAAGTCCCTGCATCAGCTGATCTTAGCTTCTTCTTGTTAAGCTACATTGTTGCTTGATATCAATATTTGATTTGAAACTGTATTTAGTGTTTACTATAACAGACACACAAAATATGTAAACAAACAACGCATGTGAAACCAGCGCCATAAAACAAAGTCATTAGCTTGTACCTGAATGTGAATGATGCAGAAAATAATACTAGCAATAGGCAGCCAGCTTTCTTCTGGCGAAAGTGATAGGTTTGACCTGATCAGACAAGCATTCACATCTGGTGGTCACAATCAATAGTAATATCACATAAAACTTAAATGCAATGAACCATTATTAGCAAAACAATAAAAAGCAAGGTGTTTTCATCATCATCATCATTTTTTGTTGCTATGAATGCAAGATGATTCTATTTTCTTTGGGGCACGCATCAAATGCAAGGTCAGAAGACTCAAATTTTGACTAAAATTCAAGATGTCCCTTCTTTTTCCGAGATGAGACTGATTGCCCAGAAAAAGAAGCACTTAAAAAATGACTGGCAGCTTATACTCTTAAGATTCAAGCATTTTGCATTTGTAATACATATTTTCAAACAAATAATTAGAAAGGCATAATCCAAACTCAGGAGACCCCAAAAACCATGACAATACAAGAGTTTGACAAAATAAAAACAGGGGGTAGCAATGGCCAGAGCAATTAATGTTTACGAATTACTCATTTGTTAAAGAAGATAACATTATCAGGCAGTAGTTTTTTTTTTTAAGAAAAGGATATGGAATTTTGATTTTTTTTTTTAAAGAAACAATAACTCAAGAAATGTATGTGCCTGTGTATTCAAACAGTAAATAAATAGTACTAGATCAATTTGATAATTGATGGATAGCATTAAAACAGTACTAGATGATCTTGGTTTGACATGATATATTGACATCATGTACAATTCAACAGTTAATCTTTCTTGCTCAAGAGAACATAATGTATTACATAGTAGCCAGTACTATAGATAACCTTACATGTCAAAAAAAAGAAAAAAAAAAACACTTCCAATTAAGTAAACATTATATCAAGCACATGAACGAACTTAGCAGACTATTTTGTGCCCGATAGCATTCCAAATCAAAACAAAATTAAGGAATTGAGCAATGAAAAGAATAAAGCATAATCTTGAGATTCCAACCTTAAGAGATTCCAACCTTAGATAGGGGGCCAAATACACAAGTGCATACACAGCATAACGTCTTCTGCCAGTGTCAAGCCATGCAAAAACCCAACTCTATCAGCCAAAAAACATCAAGCAAGATCATTACTATAGATCGGGGCCATCACAAAACTAAGATCAAATTTAGCAGTCAGGTATATTTCACCACGATACTCAGCATCAAGAGAGGGCTAGAGTTTTGTTCGGATCAAAGAGCCAAAGCCGTGGATATCTACAGCAACTGTGCGGACGTGATTAATATTCATACAAGAGACAGTGATCCTTCTCATCCGTTTCATCATCTACTCCAAGGTGTTACGTGTCGTTTGTAAGGATTGGCTCGTTACCATTAATTTTGTGTACAAGGAAGCTTTAAGTCCTGTTGTTAAACTCACTGATTTAGCCCATGAGTTAGAGGGTACTTTTGCAACTTTGATCATCCCACACCTTCTATTTTGGTATGCGGTGAATCATGAAAGTATTTTGCCTGATTTATTTCTTTCTAGTTGCATTTTGTTCATATTTTGAATTAAAGTTCTCAATTTACATTCAAAGAAGAAAGTTCTAATGAAATACATGTTTGTTCCTTCTTCACTTGACCAAATCATATCTCAATCTCACTCAATATGTGGATAGCAATCAAACAGAAATCTGACAATTCAAGGGCTAAGAGCTAAACTTTCAATAATCAAATTGTATATTCCTAAAAGATGAAAGAACAGGAAATGCAGATTACCAGCCAATTAAAATAAGGAATGAAGCCAACAATCCCCATCACAGCGAACCTAGTATCAGTTCCGTCAATGGCGGAATCACCATCCCCCTCTTGTCCACCATCAGAGACAGGGAAAACCAAAGAAGTGAGCATACAAGCCCCGATTGCCACAGCAAACGGACCGTCATCACCGAAGTGAACCCTGCAGGTTGTGTTTTTCCCAAGCTTAAACTTATTCTGAGACCAAAAAAAAAAATTCAGAATTAAGCCACCGAACTGCTAATAGGAAGCGCTAATAAAAGCGATAGTGATGATTCTTACCAGATTGTGTTTGGCACCAAATGAAGAACTGAGAATTGGCAGAGAACGAGAGAGAGGAGAGGACAAGGTAGGAAAAGGATTGAAACGAGTACATGAACTAAGAGTCCAGGGATTCATCATTCATGGGCGTGAATCTGAACTGAGATTAGTGGAAGGAACCATTCAAGATGCCAAATTCAGAAACATGGAGCGTAGTGCGAGTCTGAGAGAGGTAAAGTAGAGGTAAAGGGTTTGATGAAGCATCGCTGTATGCGCTGTACGCTCCCGTGGAAGACTGCTGTATCCGTTTTTTATTCAGGTTTTTTTTTAATGACAATTAGATACCCAAATAAAAATACTAATTACAATCACAGGTCATGATTGTTTGAAATCGTAATGATAAATCAGTCTTTACTTATATAATAATAATAATAATAATAATAATAATAATAATGTATCTTTTATTAATTGATTTAAGATTCACTACTTACTTATGTAAATTTTCAATTAAAGTCATAAAATTTTTCAAGTATTTTTTATTAATTTTTCAAACATTTATGTACTAACAATAAAAAAATCATATGTGATTGCACGATTTATAATTAATTTTTGTAAATTTTGAACTAACATTATAAATAATATCAAATATATATTATTAGTTTTTCAAGTAGTTTATACATATATAAAAAAATTAGTCATTTAATCCTTGTAATTTTAATCTAGTTATAACCTAATTTTTTAACTTTAATTTGTTAATTTAATTCTTAAAGTTTTGACTTCATTATAAATTAGTCCTTAACTTTGTTTCTTGTAATTTAATCCCTAAAATTTTATCTTAAATATTTATTTCTGTATTTTAAAAATAAAATTATAAAGTTTAAAAATATTTTAAACTTTTAATATTTAAAATAATTTTAATATTAGTAATAAATTTTAAAATATTTTTAATCTTTATAGTTTTATTTTTTTAAAAATATAGAAACCAATATTTGAGATGTTGAAACTTTAGGGACTAAATCATAAGAGATAAAATTTAGGAACTAGATTGAGTTATAACAAGTTAAAGTTGAAGGATTGAGTAATAATTAAGTCAAAATTATAAGAACCAAATGATTAATTTTTCCTATATATATTTAAAGCAAAAAATAAGATTTATAATTAACTCTCATAAATTCTCAAATAATATTATATATAATTCTAAATGTATTTTATTGATTTTTTAATTAACTATTCATATTTTTAATTATAAATAAAGATTATAATCTATTATTAAAATTTTAATAATTTAAAATTTATGATTGTAAACTTTTCCTTTGTTGTAGAGTTCTCAATTATCAGTTTTTATTTTTTAGGTTCGGCTTTTGATTTTGGTCAAAAATTGTTTGACCTACTTCATAGTGCAAAACAAAAAAATTCATCACTATAAAAAAAAAATGAAGTAAAATAAGTCCAAGCCCATTTTTTAAATCGGTGAAGGCAATAATTTAATAGTCAAGGGTTAAACCGATCTTAATCAAAATATTATAAAATAATTAAAATATACAAAAATATTTATATTTAACTACAAAAAGTATTATTTAATTTTATAAAAAAATTAAAGGTATTATTTAATAGGCTAAAAAGGCATTAATGTCATCAGTTATGTGATTACTTCCGATTCCAATATTGATGTGCAATAACTAAAATAATCTCTGCAAACTGTAACGTTATCAGCACAAATTCCAACAACACAGCATTAATTTCACTCCAAAGACGGAGTTAAATTACAAATACTAATCCATTTAAATATATAAAATATTTTTTTAAAAATATAAGTTATTTTTTATCCTTTGAGATGTAATTATTTTTTTTAAAGTGCTCTTATTAAATAATTCATTTTATATTTTTGAGAGTAAAATATATTATTAAATAGAGATAAATATAAAAAAAATATAATTAATTTAAAAATAAGTAATTGTGTTATTAAAAGGTGAAATTTGATTAAAAATATTTTACGTTTTAAATAGAGGGAGTATAATATTTTAACAATATGAAAGACTTATTTCAACAAATTCCAAGTGCGAAGGGCGAGAATAAACAGATAATAGAACGCTCTTATCGTAGCAGAAGACGGCTAATCTGGAAAATTAACAGAATAATAGTATTGATCCAAATTCAAATCTCGATTGATTTCTCCCTTTTTTTTCTATTTTAACTTAATTAATAAAGTGAAGTATCAACTGCTACCAAAAAAACAAAAAGTGAAGTGTAAACTATATTATATATATATATATATATATATATCAGAACACATTAATTTTTAATCCCAAAAGTCTACATCCGAGCAAAAGCAAACCATTAATAATTTAATAGCCTCCTAAACGGCTAAATTAATGTCAGGAGGGAGAAAGAGGCGAGAGAGAGAGAGAGAGAGAGAGAGAGAGAGAGTACACCGAGTTTTGAGGGGAAGGGTACACTTAGTGCGGATCACTTTGGGGTTGACCTCTTTGGGGAAAAAAATAATAATAATAAAGCATGGAAATCATTGCAATTTTAACTCCAAATTTATTTATATTTTAATCCTCACCCAGACTATTGATCTTTTTTTTTTTGAACAATTTGTTCCAAAAATCTTTGAATGCGATTTAACCCTTAACCTATATATATGTTTGGGAAACAACATAAAGAAAATTTAATTGGGTTGAACTAGTTTGATCAGGTTAATCTCGAGTCAACTAAGTTAGCTTAGGTAGTGGCAGAGTTAAGACCCTGGTTAAAAGGCAATTTTCTTTTATAAAATTAACAATTTTAAAAACAATTTAAAAATTAAAAAAATCAATTATAACAATTTCTGATGTTATTAGAGTTTGGATTAAAAAGTTCAAAATTTTGGAATCCAATTTAGAGAAAGAATTAAATGAACTTAATGTTCAAAATATTAAAAGTATGGGGTGTAAAATATGAAGAGAATCTGTGCAGAATTTAAAAGTCTATACTCAATATATGCAATTTTCTCAAATGAGATGGAGCATGCGCCTATTGTCACTTGGAAGGCTCAAGATGTCTCTACTTTCTTTTGGTGCATTTCTCCCTCACCTCTTTAAAACGACATCGTTTTGATTAGTAGTAGGAAAAAAAAAACAAATGTCTCATTTTCTCCTCCAAAGTGTGGGAAGTTGGTTATTTTTTTCTCTAGAACATAGTTGATGTTCTCTCACACAGCAAGAAAAAGGAATTCGATGAAGGAAAGATTTTTGATCAAGGGAGGATTTTGATTGTAATTTGATATGGTTTCATTTTTCTCCTATATATTGATCATTTCCATCCCCTCTATTAAGCATAAAACTTACTTAATATAGTTGTTGTTCTCTCTCTCTTTCTCCCCTACATTGATCATTTTCCTTTGCTATATCTATTTTTAAATTTATTTTGAAACACCTCATTGATTTCCCACTGACTTGTGCTACATACAAATTTTTCATTGACAATCACAAATATAGGAAAGCAACTCTAACCCACAAGTTATTATGCCTTAGCTTTGCATAAACAATAGCATCACCAAGCTCTTAGGTTATTTTTAAATTCATTTACAGTGTTTTTGTTAACTCTCATGTATAACAGTGATTTATTATTATTTTTATCTACTTACTTTTGGTTGTAGTGGTTTTATTTTTTAGTTTTTCTTGTTAGCTTTAAGTAATGGATGCAGTATGACTCTAGTACTTGATCTTGAATTTGATGATCTTGAAAAAGCATGGCAATATTGGATTGGCTATGGTGGAAGAATAGGATTTAGATTAAGTTCACAAACTCTCCTAACAGTGTTAGAAAGCAAAACTCTAATAGGAGCAAGAAGGATGATTATGTCATATATTACAAATATGTTTGTTCCAAGGAGGGAGTGAAAAAGCCAAATAAAAGAGATTTTAAAACTAAAAAACTTGAAAGGAAAACAATAACAAGGTGTAAGTGAAAATGATAATTAAAAAAGTGAATGTAAGATTTAGAATTAGTAAACTATTTTTGGACCATAATCATCCTTTGGAGCCCCAACAAATATTCATATTTTAGCATCACAAAGGAGATTACCTAAAGCACAAGGCTATACTTTGAGGCTACTGAAGATACAGGGATTAAGGAAAATGCCTCTTTTAATTTAATGGGCAAATATGCAGGGGGAAGAGCTAATTTGGGGTATACCAAAGAGGAGGTAAAGAGTTATCTAAGATCAAGGAGGCAATGAGACATGGTCTACATTGAAGCTAAGTTTTTACTTTGCTATTTCCAACAACAATTAACAAAAAATCCTTAATTTTTTCATGCTTATCAAAGGGACTTAAAAGAATAGATAACTAATGTGTTTTAGGCTAATGTACAAATGTTGATAGATTATGCTTGTTTCAGGGATATCATTTCATTTGATACAATATACTCTACAAATCATAGCAATAAACAACTTGCCATTTTCTCAAGTTTCAACCATTACAAAGAAGTAGTCATAATTGGTACTACTTTATTATATGATAAGATCATTGAGTCTTTTAATTAGCTTTTTGAAATTTTTTTGCAAGCACATAAGCAAAAAATGCCATTATTGTGTTTACTAACTAAGATGCAGTAATAGCAAGATCTTTGGAAGAGATAATGCCAAATGTAAAGCATGGCTTATGCACATTCCATATCAATAGAAATGGGGTGAAATATCTTGGGAACTTAATGAAAGATGACTCTTGTTTTTTGGGTGAGTTTAATTGGTGCATGTATTATTATAAGAAATAATATTTGAGGAATCTTGGAAAGAATTATTATTAAAATATATCATTATAAGAAAATTAATTGTTGATGTCTATTTACAAGTTAAAAAAAAAGGGTAGCATATTATATGAAAGACTTAAAGATTCTTAGTATAAGAAGTACACAACTTGGTGAAAGTATCAATTCTTTTATAAAAAGTTGTACTACTCCTAAATTGAATATTATAAATTCTTCAATGTCTTTGAACAAGTTGTCATGGATAAGCGGTATAATGAATTGTAGAGTAGTTTCAACTCATGCTAAAAGTTGCCGAGGTTGATTTTGAAAAGTTCATCTATGGTACAACATCTTTTTCAAGTTTACACCCCACCAATTTTTAACTTGTTCCAACATGAGTATGACTTGCGTGATGCTACATGTATAAAAGAAAGGAAGGAAAGAAAAATAATTGCAGATGATGATGCTGTTGTAATTGATTATGTAATCATAATGGTTGACAAAAAAGGAGAGTTGAGATTAACATTTGAGCCATCAAGAGAAGAGAAG